TTAGAGTGGATTTTCAGAGCCTGGTGCCACAGCTGCGTGGGTAGGCAGGCAATTTCAACTGAAGTTAATGAAAGATACAGAGCTAAGAACTGCCACCCCTGCAACCCACACGGCTTAGAAAACGTGCCCCAAAACTTTATATCCTTTTTTATTTTTAATTTACTGGAGGTTTCTTGGAATGGAAAACACATTTTTTATAGGCTAACGCGTGTTTCATGGATAACGAAGGAGGTGTGTTTCCAACCTAGGCTCAGCAATTGGCATTGGAGTGTACAGGGGAAGACAGTGAAACAATACACAGGAAGTCTTTAAATACAGCACAAGAGCATGTGGGCTGATGAAATAATAATTGGAAGCTGTATTCAGCAGGGTATTTAAGTGTCTGCCTGATTCTGCCCAGAAACAGTTCCACTTGCTTCAGTAGGATTAATCATGGGACTTACAAATGAATACTTTAAAACATCCTGCAAAATTATGGCCTGAGCAAACAAAGCACATTAATTTTGGTCTTTTTTTCACATGTATTTGTTTCAGGGCCCTTGCTTTGCTTGCTGGAGACTCTTGCAAGAGCTTGTCTTACTGGCAAACCTAGAGGACGTTTCAAAAGCCTGTGAGAGGAGTCATGGAAAACAGACTTTAAATGCCCATCCTCAGGGCATTTCAGCCAGGAGACGGTGCCAGTAAGGGAAGAGCCCCAGTGTCATGTGATTTATTTGTCTGGACAAAGTCGCTTGGATTTCATGTACCTGCAGCCCAGTATCTTATGGAATAAATATCCAAACTGAGTTCTGGTTTAGATACCTGATACTTACTAGATGATTGAATAACTAATAAATCTGAAGAAATCCCAGTATTCTTCATGCTATTGCACCCACAGGGAAAAAGAAGTGAAACCCTTCCCTACCCCACAAGCCACTCACTCAATTCCAGTAATAATACTTCAGTTTTCTAAATGCATCTTCCATTTCAAAGCACTTTTCAAATGCTAATTAACTCTGACTGCAGCCTTGCCAGAAAGGGAAATATTATCCCATACCAGACAGGTGAGGAAGACAAAGACCTAAAGAAGTTCCCTTCCTCGCCCCAAATCTCATAGGAATCGCTGGCAAACAGAGCTGCGGAGCTTTTTTTTTCTTTTGGCTTTTCAGTTTCTGGTCTTGTGCTTTAGCTGTTTGTCTAATCTGTGTCTAGACATTGCTTCCTTGTCAGAGCAGGACCACTGTGGGAGCTGCCTGCCTTTGAGCAAGGGTACCCCTTGAAGACAGGAACACTGGGAGCTGACCTGGGCACAGTAAAAGGGTGAAAAACCCTAACCCTCAGCTGCAAAAGGGAAATACTTTAACCTCAGGTTAGGTTCGCAGCCCCCTTCTTTCCCATTCCCCTCTCCACAGCATGGCCTCACACAGGAGGAAGGGAGATGATATATGTTAAAGCTATTCACCATTACAAGGTGAAAGGCAGCAGCTTGAGGGCTTGTCTATGGTGAAAAGGGCTTGCTTGGCTCTCCCAGTGTTGTGGTTTAATCCCAGCTGGCAACTAAGTACTGTGCAGCCCTCACTCACTCTCGGCAGTGTCTTCTCTCTGCCTGGTGGGAAGGGGAGAAGAATTGGAAAACAGATAAAACTCACAGGTTGAGATAATAAGAATTTAATAATGGAAATGAAGGAAAATATAATTACAATAGCAGCAACAACAATAATAATAATAGGAAAAAGAGAGAGAGGAACAAAGCACAAGAAACAGAGTAATGCACAACACAATTGCTTACCACCCCTGACCAGGGTCCAGCCTGTCTCTGAGCAGTGATTGGTAGCTCCTGGCTGATTTCCCCCGGTTTATATACTAAGCATAACATTCTGTGTCATGGTTATGGAATATCCCTTTGGCTAGTTCAGGTCAGCTGCTCTGTCTCTGCTTCCTCTTGGCTTCTTGTTCCTCTCTTCACTGGAAGAGCATGAGAAACTGGAAAGTCCTTGGCTGAGGGTATTTAGCAACAACTAAAACATCAGTGTGTTATCAGCATTATTCTCATATTAAATACAAAACACAGCACTGTACCAGCTACTAAGAATAAACTAACTCTATCACAGCTAAACCCAAGACAGTATCCACACCTTATTCCATGTCATTTATGTGATGACAGGTTCCACACTTCTAATACACCACCACCTTTCCTGTCTTTTGATATATACACACGCAGGTATAGTTCTTTTAGTCTATAGACTATCCCTGTAAAAGCCCATTGAGTTCATTTAGTCCATGACTTTGGCCTTCATCTGACACAAGAGCTTTTTAAGGCAAGAAACGTGGTGTGTGCTGGTGGATGGTTGCATGCTGGAGTCAGTTCTGGTTCCATCATCAATTTAATTCATTGGCTATTCTCACCCAGAATCATATCCCCTTGAGGTACACACCGGAATTCCCCATCCTCCCACATTACCCACCAAGTGCACCCAGGTCCTTCAGCAAAAGCAATCCCACAAATGGGTTTGCTTTTGCCTGAGGCATAAATAACCTGGACTGTTTATCTAGGATATTTTTTATGTGCACTACAGGAACTTTATCCCCTTCTACAGTACGTTAAAGTTTTGATTGGTAAGGGCCAGACCCATTCCTCAATGGGGATAAGCTGTATCAGCAGCAAGATATAGTTGCCTGTATAGCTACATTAACACTAGGAAGAGTAGGTTAGGGAGGTAATATGTTTTCCTCTTATTCCCATAACTGATGTAGCCATACTCACCTGCCTTTATAATTACAGTGTTAGCACTGTCGCTGCTGCATTATGTTTTCCCATTTCTCTGCCCAGCAGGTTGTAAACCACTTCAGATGTGGTTAAAGCATCTCAGGGCTTTTTTTGCTGAGGTTATAATGAAAGGCTTTTAGCTGGCAGAAGGCCTTGGTGACACTTAAATCCCCACAGATGGTCTCCCCTCCACGCCAAGCCCTGTGCCGGCCCTCAGCACAGTGTGAGCTCAGCCAGGGGAAGGGCTCCAGGAAAATATACCCAGGAGGGACTCGTCCCTATTTCATGGATAAGCAAACCAAAGCCCAGGAAGATTAAGGAGTCCTATTCCCTCCAGCCACCCCCGGCTTGGTGGTTACTCAACTGTGATTAAAAACACAAGTGGACTGAGCTATCAGGGATTATGTGCAGAGAAGGACCCACTCTCCATCAGATTAAGGCAAGGGGAGCTTTGCTAGGGCCTGAGTTGTTAGTGGTGGATATCTGCCTGCTTACAGACCTAGGTCTTGGAACCCGAGCACTCCCATAACCAAGTGTACAGCTCTGGGGAAATGAAGCACCAGGATAAGAGTGTTAGAGGGGGGATCTGCACTGGGCTGGAGATGTGAGGTGGGCATGTGGGAGCCTTGTTGGGATGCGATTGCCCGCACTCTGAGCAGATAAGAGCCATTCCATAGCCTGCTGCTAGCTCCCTTGTTGCTCTTGCTCATTGTAGGAATGAATGAGAAGAATGTGTGTGTATGTCCTAGAGGGTAAGACAAATCTGGCATAACTCAAAGAGCAAGGCTGTGTTTGGTAAGGGCGTGTGGGGGACATAATGGGACCTAAAGGTGGAGAAATAAGAATGTGGAAATCTGTGCATGCATGTTTTAACTCTCGTTTGTGTGATAGGGAGAGAATGAAAAAAGAATTGTAGAGCATGGGTGCGACAGAAACATGCTTTCTTATATTCCTGTAATTCATGCTCTGCATAGCTAAATGTTAGTGAGCTTACAGGAGATGGTGAAGGTGACAGTCTGTGTTCATCACAGAGAAAGCAAATTCACTGGATCCACCCACAAAATTAGGATCTTCCTGATTTTTTCCCCCTTGACATTTATACAGGGTTTGTTCTCACTAGAAAACTCCAGCACTACTTGGCAGGTGTGTCTTAAAATGTTTATGGCCGTAATCATGACTTCACATCTGTGAAACGCTGTCTGTGCTGGAGCCTGGGGGACAACTGCAGGCATCTTTCCTGGCCTCTCTTCTACAGTCCTCTCAGCAGATTTTGGCACCTCCATTTTTTACATGAAAAAACAGATGGGAGAGAGAGAATTTCTGAGAGGGCCTAACACCTTCTTAGACCAGAGGTATTTTAAGCATAAATTTGCTAAGAGATCTCATGAGGTTCCAGGCTCCAAACTCTCCAAAGGCAGCAGACTCAGCTTTGGTATTCCATGCTGTGCAGATGCAGCAGTGGTCAGGAAGGAGGTCCAGAGGCAGTGGGACCACTCCAGCCATAGGGGAGTCACACCAGAATAAATCAATGTGGAAATTCATTGAGCAGAGGGGGAGGGCCAAATCCTCCATGCCAGAGAAAGTACCAAGTTGCTTTAAACAGAAAACGCATTCACCAGAACGAAAGTGGCCAGATGAGCTGGCCTGAGCAAATGTCAGGAAAAGCAATCATGGGATAACGCCAGTTTTTGGAACTCAAAGTCTGCCTCTGCCTTTGCACAGCTTTGTTTCAGTACCTGCAGGAGCAGGGTGACCCTGCTGGGAGGAAGGCGGTGTGCCAAGAAGGCATCATGGCACAATGAGGAGCTGCCGAGCGACCAGGACAGGCTGTCCCTGTGCTCCTGACTTGTTCTAGCTGGACAGTGAAGGTGCTTCGGCTTAGACCTTGGCAAGAAGAAAGTTACTTGCTGAGGGAGGAAATGAACCACCAGCTCCTGCTTAAATGAAGCAGGGGCTACGGTTTGAACACTGATTCGAATGCACTTTCGTAAGGGCACTATTCATTCAAACCTGCTACACTGCTCACTTCTTCCCTATTCGTAATTACAGTCACAGTGATGCTGGTGTCAAATCTCTGTAGAGGCAATGGCTAAGCTTCTTTGTGAGCTGTTTGATAAACAGAAAAAGATCTTTCCCAAGTGTTTCGAATGGCCGGCTACAGAGCATCCTGACTCCTCACTGCCTTCAGGCTCCCTGACTCAACACCTGCCTTGGCTCAGCATCCTGGTCCCCTCTGAGAGCCTTGCTGGGAAACCTGCTTTCCTTAACAAAGACCCTGATGACTCTTGTTTAATACAAGTGCCTTTTCAAGTGGAGGAGATGGGGTGTTGCTTGGCTGGTGCCAATGCATTGCCCCTCAGTACTGGCACCATTGACTGATGTGCTCCCATGTGTGTCACTTTTCTCTCCCATACAATGATGGGGCTTGTGCCTCACGCTACTTATGTCATCTCATAGACCAAATGCTTAAGCAAGCATTAACCCTTAATTTCAAGGTGAAGTGTTTTTTTAACTTCACATATCTTCCCAGTCTACTACACAGTGCCTATCCTCCCTCTCTTTAGGTTTCAGCCTTCACCCTGACTGAGTTGCAAGCAGCAGTACCCCAGCAAGACTGTTATTTCTTATTCCCATCACTGGCTGTAATTAATGGATGCTAAAGGAAGATCAGAACTGCCTTTTATACACATTTCCCCACCCAGCACTCCCTCAAGCCCTACTTTACTCCACTGGAGCCTCAGGCAGACTTGTAGTCATAACAGGCTGGAGAATATTTTCTGTGCAGGCTCAAAACTAGCACAGGGTTTTAGACCCTACTCAGAGAAGGGATTACAGCATGGGTAAGTGGACTCCTGGTAGACATGAGCCCAAAAAGCAGTGGCTGGGGAGAAGACATAGGGTTTCTGCTGCCAGAACTGTAAGCTGCTCCCTTGGGCATGCAGTGTGTCATAGCATGGCATGGGCACTGTCACCACTTTCACAGGCTCACCCCTCTCTTCCTTGACTTCATTCATCGTCCACCAAAGCCACTATTTTTCTGTCCCATCAGGAGGCAGAAAATGGGGTGTTCCATTTCATAGGAGTGTTTTCTTCCCTGCAGAAGAGAGCATTCATAGGCCCCTGTGGTCACTGGACACATTCATGCCATGAATGGTTCCAGTCAAGCCCATAATGTCCTCCAAGGAGCAAAGGTACCATCCAGGAGGGCTGGCCTATGGTTTGCTGCCCTGAGTACGTACTGATAACTTACTGCTAACTATCTTTACAAAACCACCACCCTGTGCTGAGTTACATCTTATCGTGGTGTAATGCCTTCGAATCATTAATCTGCCTGACTTCTGGACTAGCGCCAGAAAAACTGATGAAGGCCAGGCTGAGTTCAGATCAAACCAGAGGACACTGTGGTTACGCTTATGGTTTTTCAGAGGATCTCTCACCTGCAGCCACAAATCTGCCTTTATTTGGCTTGAGCATGATCCAGAATTACCTCAGAGGTCAGCAGTGCATGTCTTGTGGATTAGTGAAAACTACTGACTAACCTAACTTAATGCATTATTATTATTATTCCAGGAAAAAGGGTGGCTGTAGTCTGTTGTTTCGTAATAAAAGCCTAACACTGATTTCACTCTCTTCAGAAACAAAAAAACAAAAAAAAGCCAAAAATAAAAGTCATGGGAACATTTTGCACACTGCAGCTTGCTGAATGCTGTAGCTCTTGCTACAAGGAAATCCATTGTAGGCCCCACTCTAAATCTGCTTTGTAAATGTGAATTAATGGGACTTCCCAGCACCTTCCCAATGTAAGTCAGTGGAGCTGAAGTCAGCCTCCACAGGAGCCGTGTCGGGAGAGGGACTGTGACTCAGGCCAGCCTTGGGGAGAGGACAGTGGCACTCGCCAGGATGCCTGGAGATGCAGCCAGAGAGCTTGGCTCCTATTGCAGCCAGGCTGGCTCTGGCTGTTTGCTCTGGAGGCTCCTGTCCAAAGTCCCTCAGACTCAGTGGTAAAAGCACCGCTGACTTTCCCCAGCTTGAGAGTGTCACCTTTGCCCCAGTTGTGTATCTGTAAAATAGGAATAATACTATTTCCCTGCTGCCCCGCGGCCAGGGAGAATCCCTCATTGTCCGTGTGGGTGACACAGGTGCAGGAAAGGGAAAGGAGAATAAATATTTGCCCAGAATCGGATGCAGATAAATCGATATTTGCAATCGTTCCCTCCTCCAACGTTTCCTTCCTACAGGGAGAGGGAAACTCCGGCCTCTATTTGGTTAAATCATTTACGTACGTTAACGAACAATTAGGGAGGGAAGAGGGGGGAACCAGCTCAGAAAACCTTCCAGGAAAGAGCTGCCCTCCGTTGCACTTGTTTGATTTAGGATAGGAGGGGAGCAACCTAACTGTGATACATGAGGACTCTGTCATGACCCGGAGTGTCTGTAAAATCAAGTCTGGGTGGGAGATTTAAGACAAAGGGCCAGACATGGTGTTGATTTAAACTATTGTAGTTTCTCTGGAGTCACTGGAGCTATGAGAGTCGTATTGGGAAGGCCTGGTCCCATGGGCGCCGAAAAAGAAGGGTAGGGTTGGAGCAGAGCCGGACTCTTGGCAGGGTTTTGGCTCTGTCAGAGGAGTTGTGGGTTTTGCTCTTGGTTATTTAATTCGTTCAGCTCAGCCTTGTGATGGTCCCTGGTGCCCAGCTGCTGTTGAGAGCTTTCAGCTTTTCACGTGAAATCTATTGGATGTGACAAGGTACATATGGGTCATATGCTGCTCTCTGAGTAAGCTGCATTTAAGTGCAGTGTGTCAATAAGAACAGGAAAACCCCAAACCCATCCTTTTCACTCCCTCACAAGCTGCCCCACATCCCAGCTTTGTTTCTGGCCTCTTTTCCAGCAGTGTTCCCTGCTGGAAGCTATGCAGGAGGTCCCTCCACTGATCCTCTGTATGTCCTGGGGGTCTCTGTGCAAGGAGAATATTGCGAGCGGAGTATGGAGCCAGTGAGCTGGCAGTCTCCTAGTACAGAATGGCCAGAAGGGGCTAAAGACCAGAAGGCGCGTCCCTATTTTATGATCATTTGGGCTGAGTAAACAGGTCTCTGTGAGCTGGAGCTTTGGTTGCTAATTCTGACTGAAGTTCAACAAAGTTAAAGAGATGGAGGTGCAGAATATGGAATAAATTAGATTAGTTCTGTGCTGGAGCAGAGAAATATAGATCAAGCAAATGCAAGTTCAAGGAGAAACCATGTACCTTAGAGATCTTTGTTAAAAAAAATCTTTTTTTCCTCAAAAAAACAAAGCATGAGAAAAGCAAATACAATAATACCATCCCAAAGTCCTTTCTGCTGTGAGCAACACTGCCTCACACTTTGCAGACTTATCCATGCAGCTCTGCTAACTCCTAGCTTGGGGGATGCATCTGAACTATTATTTCAAACCACCTCCTCCAGCCAATAGTTTAGAAACACAGAAGCACGGCCTCCGGGACCCTCCCAGCTCATTCCCGACATTGCTGGATCTACCCCTTTCCCACATGTTGGAGGCAATTCACTTGTGCTTTCCCTGTCACAGCACCGCTGGGATAATCTGCTGGGTTTTGGGACAGGGCTGTGAGGTCACTGGGGACACAGTGCCCTTTACAAGCCAGGAGGGGATGGCTAGTGAGACTGCCAGCTTGACTGAAGTCTGCTCCATTGTGTGGAAGTCCTTTGACGTGGCAAGTGGCCGTAACAGATCAGAGGTGACTCAAATCCCGGCGGGTGTTTGAAGTTAAATCTCCAGAGGTTCAAATATTAGCCTACTCCATCACCTGTCCATCAAACATTAACTCACTCCACCAAGCGCACACTTACCCAGTCCCTTGGTTCACTGCTTCCCATACTGGTAATCTTTCTTAAGACAAATGCAAACTATCTCACCCTGGATGCTGCTTGCAGGAGACAAGCTCCAGCCCAATTATGGGAGGACATTAAGTACCATTGATTCATGGCTGGAGATTTATATGTGGCTGGGGACTGATGGTTAGGGTAAAGAAAAATAGTTTCAGTGCACCCTTGAGTTAATTTGCACATTAAATCTGCCTTCATCTTGGTAATGAAAGTTGTATTGCCAAAGCCATGTATGTAAAAAACTGTAAGTCATGCTCCTAAACAATCCTGAACTACCACAAGACTAGCTTGAAAATCATATGGAGAGGTGAATTGTCTTTCTGATCCTGGAGGTACTAGGAGGTTGGGATTTCCATGCAAGAGGCGGAAACTTACCTTCATTTCGCAGGGTTGGTTAGATCTGTGCTTTTGTTCCTAAGGGTGGGGAGACTCTTGGGTAACCCACTTGGTCCCATTGCTTTTGAGAGGTGGGAAACGAGTGACGTTGCCTTGCATTTGTTCTAACGTTGAGACTCTGCAGTGAACAAGATTATTTCTACCTGTATTATCAAGATCATGTATTATATTCATAAAATGTTATTTGTAACCTCTATATATCGTGTACTCCAAACTCATTAATGATTAACTGTGAGGGTGTATTCCCAGCCCTACTTCTCAGCTGAAGTAGGAGGTTTAATTGAAGTGCTTTGAAATCTGGGATAAAAAATACTGCCAAAGTGCTAGGTATTATACTTATTACATATTTATGAGACAAGTGATGTCCATACAGTAATATGATGAATGAATGGGGATTTCACTTCCTATTCCTTCAACCATAAACATTCTCAACAAACAGAGTTTGCTGTATTAGAACCTGCTTAATACCATAAACTTCAACATAAATGCGTAAAGTTGGGCTGGCGGTCACACTTTCATCATCTTGCTAAAGGAATGCATTTTGGACTTATTTCCTCATGCTGGGATTTAACATCCACAACTTCTATTCTCTGGGAGATTAAACTCTGCCACCAATGTTATCACGCTATAGTATTTGAAATGGTTTTACACAAGTACTGTACAAGGCAGCTCCAGCTGGGACAATCAAGGCAAAGTTGTCTGGCTGCCAGCCAGGGGGGACAGGCTCCTTTCTCAAGCAAATAGCTTTGAGATATTTTTAGCTGCAAATGCACTGTCTGATGCATTTAGTATTTGGCTTGCAGGGCCGCAGGACACATCACCACAGCTCCTGCTAGGAAAAGTGGCAGACACGTAGGGTGCTTGCCAAGTGTGAGCTTCCTGCTCTGGTGGCTGGCTGGGAGCCTGTGAGGAGCCCAGCATTGCCAGGAATGCTGCTTTCGGCTCTGGGAGCAAAGAGCCGTGCCAGGCTGGCTGGCAGCCCTAGTCCC